CAGCGACCTCATGTACCATGGGGATCATTTAAATAGGGGTGCGTTACCGTTACACAAAAATTATCTATTTTGAGCTTCAACAATAGAAAAGTTTTATAGAAGTAAGCGTCAGGTACGTTTCCAGTTCATTGAAAGCGATCAATATATTATTTGTTAAATTCTGCATCTGCAACGGGCGGAGCGCGTACAAAAGGCTCGTCCGCGTAGGAAAGCAAACTTCGCAACAAAGCGAATTGATCCGGCATTCTGTTTTTGTTTCACGGGGAGGCTTTTGATGAGCGACGCGGGCGAATTAGAAAACCGGAAATGACGCTCGGAATTCGACCGGAAACGCGTTGATGGAGCTTCACCAATCGAGCGAAATCGATCTCTGGCCAGCGCGCTGACTTTCCGACCTCCACGTTATGGAGCAGAGAGTTCCCAGCGTATTGCTCAGTGAGCTAATATTCTATAGAGGGACAAAAACTGAACTTGATGATATGACGACAATTGCATAAGTAAATTTATCGAAAAATTTCAGAAACAAAAAAACTGTCCAAAGAAGAAATGCTTACTTAAACGTTTTAGCGATACATAGATGCGCTTTATAAAAAAAGAAAGTCGAACAATTTCGGGATTCAATGGGAGCCCTTTTGGCACAAATTACTTGAGGTATGGAAACTTTCGGAGTTCTACAATCTAACTTTTTAAATTCTTAGATACCCATTCCGGGTCTAATTGAACCGAACCTCACTAAAAGCAAACGAACTGCGGGTGGTATGGGGCCGTTACATATAAGCTTTCGATATAAATCTGCAAGTACATACTAAAAACAGAATCGGATATTAAATACAAAATGAAATAAGAAATCATGCATCAACACAGCCGATCATAGGCCAGACGTATTCGGGCCTCGTTTTTTATTGACTCTACCTCCGAATCTGAGGGACACCATATTCTTCACATGGAGCAGAGCATTGAGAGTTCACGCATCGTACCATCGCGCCTTCAATTTTGCAGACGCAACCCAGACATTCATCAAGCACGAATAGTTGTATCTCTGCGCCGTCATCAACGCGCGTCCTCTACTTTGTTCTGTTTTCGTGCTGTGTTTGTTTCCGTTTATTTAATATGGAGTGGTTCTTCAAGGGCCTCAAGAGCAACCAGCCGAAGATCCGAGGGATGTTATCGAAACACATTATATTAAAAATAATTACTCGACTAATTGTCAGTTTAGAAATAATTATTGATATCTTGGAGTGGCAGAAAAACCGTAAATGAAAGACATTAAAACTACATTGAATAAAAGGAATTACCGACTTGTTTTAACTTTAAATATATTTTCTTTGTTCATATCAGCGTTTGATTTGGCCGCGAAGCTGGCCAGAAAGCTCTCAATTTCCTTTACGTTTGGGAATTCCTTGAGGATTCATCTTTTTTTCCTGGAGGTATTTTATGTCCTCAAAAGACGTTTTCCCGGGCAAAATAACAGCGATCAAAAGCTAGAACGCCGCCGTCAGAAAGGGTTGTCAACCGCGTCTTAGCAACTCCCCCGACCACCCCCATTAAAAACAAAGAGATCCTCCCCCTCCAGCCACACTCTTCAATCTCCATTCACCGTTGTTTTTTAATCAAAGACGCGCGCTGATCACGATTGAAAACGCAGAAAACCGATGGCAGTAGATGCCAAATGGACTACATTTTGCGATTAGGAACTATAAATTTCGGCCCGGTTTAAAAACAACGTACATGCCATTAGTTTCCCCATGTACATACGTGTTTTTTTCAGATAAGCCAGAATTTATAGCTCCAAATTGCAAAATGCAGTACAAATGGCTACAAAAATTTGAAGTAACCTGAGTTTTGCGATAGAATAAGTATTGAGCTCTTTTTTTTTTTAAATGAACAGCGGTCGTCACCTCACAAACAATACGGTTAACAGAGTCTGAATAGGCCGATGAGTTAACTGCATTACATACTACCTTTGACTCGTTGATAAAAACGCTTTTCTGCGTAGGCAAATTAGGTTTAAATACCGTTGTTCGTCCGACGTATGGGAGCATAACTCGGTTCTCACGTGAGCCTTGCTGGCTAATAATTGAAATTGATAGACAAAGCAATAGACAGAAAAGACAAAAAGGAAATGAAGGAATCACACTGGCGGAGGCGGGTAGTTGCAATGGATGGCGAAGGTGCGTCGTAGATTAACTATCGGCAACCCACGGCTATAGTTAGTGTATCATTTTCCTCCTTCGTTTACCACCCGTTTCAACCAAAAGGGCGCTTCATTTTCTCTTTGTCTATTACTTATAGCTATCAATTGCGATAATCAGCTTGCAAGAAAGCATGTGGTTTTAAGGAAAACAGGGTAACTTCCAGACCGGATTTACACCCTTTCATCAGAGAGGCAAGAATATTTTGTTGCTGAGGTTACTTCTTTTCTTTAAATCGATTTGAAACCTACGTAGTCATATATTTTTCCCATCGAACAAAAACTTTGAATAACAATCGTTGATATCCGTCTTGAAAATCTAATTTTGACCGAATGTTTTGCACATCATTTTCAATAATGTGCAGTAAAGAGAACGAGGGTATACAGACTCATTATTATATCTTTCCTCATAGAGCAATAAGTTGCATACTTCCATGGCATGACTTCAACTAAAGGTGGATACATTGTATTTTTGCCAATTTAGTAATTGGTTAACCGACGCAAAACTTTAACCCGAGAAAAATGGCATCTCTTTGAATGCATTTTCATGACAAAATATAAAAGGGTGCAGTTTTTCGGAATAAATAGTCGCCAAGTCATGTTAAATTGTTAATTTTTCGAGGCAATTAGGCAACCTTTTCGTAAATAGGAGCCTCAAACAGTTTGGCGAAAAAATTACGGGTGCCTTTGCCTCTTTTGCAGGCTGTGAAATGAGGATTTTGAATGGAGAAGGGAGAGGATAGCGGTTAGATGAATGAAGCGACCGCTTGCTCGGTTAGCGAGTAGTATTTCATTTTAATCAACATTAATAAGACGGGTAAAGAAATGGACCTCTTCCCGACAAAACATTTTAATTAGAGCCTCAACATTGAGGCTGTGCGTTTGGTGCCTCAGTCCCCAGCTGGGACCAACATTGTAAAGAAAGCTGTTCGTTACAGCTGTCGTAGCCTGTAAAATGTCTGTGGTATCCAAGCGTTTGTTTTAGAATCTCGCCGAAGATCACCGAAAAAAATTACTTAGTATAATTCCAAGGTCACAAGTGCCAGCAGTAATATACACGTTATCGATTCCTTATTTGAGAAACAAGGTGAATCGCTGAGTCAAAAATTCCAAAATCTAATTCTAACTTCTAAATTCCAAAATTAGTAGTTTAATTTTAATTTAAATTATTTACCGATTGAAACATTTAACCCTCCTGGTTGTTTTTATGGTGTTTGATCTATTAACCTTGATTTTAAGTTTTATCATGGTTTTCATCATTCCAAGAATTTTTCTTGTGTTCATCATTAGCTCTTATTTTTATAGTTTACTATCCGTTATAGTTCGCTATCCGTTTTCTGTTATGGTCCCACTATACAGCGTCTTTCCAAAAAGGAAAACAAACCTGTCACAAATGCTCATGCCGCAATTATATATGTAGTATAAAACGAAGAGGTTATGCTCTCTGCTCTGACCGCTTCGCGGTCCGAATGTTTCGCGCCCAAGGCGTTATGCGTTACGCAGTACTCTAATGATTTATACTATAGGAAGGGATTTTGCTAGAAACTTCGACCCGATATTCTTGGACTGGGAGGCGTTGGGATCGAAAAATTTAAAATCGACATTCTTGACTCCAAAACGATTTATTCGTTGTACTGAGCAATTTGAGTTCCCATCTTAGGACACAATTCGCCTCACTCTGCTACATATCATTTAGTACACATACAATGTGCACCAGGAATCTGCGGGACATGGTCAAGTAGGCACCATGCATGCTTTAATTAATGAAGCGTAAAAATATAGCTACAGTAATTGTGCATGTAAATTGCACTTGTATGTTGTCTCTACATAGTATATCTACTTTTAAAGAAATCTCGTCAATAATTATGTCAGTGGCATGGCGTGCTTTGCGATACATTGATTGATCTGCCATTTAAACCTGTGGAAAGGGATCGATTGACAGGGAGTTCGCAACGAACACCTTAATAATCGATTCTTTGCCACAACATCAAATGAGGAAATATCGATAATCGATCATTCACGCTTCGCCGTTGAATTTTATGTAGCATAAAGTAAACTGTCGTGCTGAGGGAAAAAGCCGTATACGCATTCGAATGTTGCCAAATTGCCTCTCTAGAAATATGTATCTTTGAAGAACTTTATGAATGTTTTTCCTCGAAATTTCCAGGCACTTTAGATCAAATTATGAGCGAAATCCTCCGAAAAATGCGCAGAAAAATATTTAAAAACTTTCCCGAAAATTTGTGATTAATCGAGGGAGATTTGGCAACGCCTGGAGGCTTATATGCGGCGTTTTTCCTTAGCACGGCAGTACACGAGAGCAATAGCGCTGTGAAGTCCATCTGAAATTCTGTCATGCTAAGGGAAAACGCCGTATGAACCTTCTGGCGTTGCCACATTGCCTTCGATAAAAAACGAATTTCCCAGTGAAATTATGACTATTTTCTTTCCAATTTTTCAGATACTTTTGCTCGCAATTTCACATAAAGTTCCCGAAAATTTCAAGGAAAAATATTCATAACTTGCCTCAAAAATGAACATTTTATCGAAGGAAATGTGGCAACTCTCGAATGTTCATACGGCGCGGCGTTCTTCTTTAGCGCGGCAGAATTGTGTTTGGTTTCAGTTTATAATATTAGATCACATTTTTTCTGGACGCCACGTGACAACCTCGTGCAATAAAGCGGGAGATGAGACCAGTATAAATTAACTTCGGGGGGGAGAAGGCGCGCTTTAATTCATTTTTCCGCAATATAAAGCGACATTCACATGCATTTACAGCGGTCAGCCCGAAGACGGGTGAACTTACCTAAATTCGGATGGCCGTAGCAAAATAAACAGCCGTCAGTACCATTAATTACGGCATGAACAATGTCCGCCAAGGCACTTGAGCTTATCTCCGCCTGCGAAAAAAATAAACAGAGGAAATAAATTATAAATTTGGCTCATATCCTCGTGCTTAACTAAGCGTTACGAGCGACGGGCAAAAAAGCAGATGCTCCGTCGGGTTTTTTCTTCGTTTCGAGTGGTCGCCGTACGGGTTCTCAAATAAGCGAGGGTTTTCCATGATTCTAATCGTTTGGTAATGACAAATTTTAGGTAGACAAATGGCTTTTATGACAGATGGAATGATACATTGTTGTAAATGGTATTTTTTAGGCGATACATTAAGTATCCCGGAGTATGTTTACGCACAGTAGATAGGAATAAGTAATTTATTCCTTGACAAAATTTTTACCCATGGTCTTACAAGAAATATAGTGCCCTGCCAAGGAAGAACACAGAATGTAGGGAAAACATAGCGATGGTGAAACTCCCAACCACGTAAATCGGTTTGCGATGTTGTAGACTTCCTGTTAGACTTTATTAGGATTGGGCCGGGGTGGCTACCGCCACCTAGAATTTTTAAATGGAAAACTACGCAACGTCAATCCTTGAGAACTTCCGTGATTTTTTCCTTACTGTGCGCGGAAAAATCCGTAAAAACCTCAAGAAATAATATTGATTTGGTGTCCTTCTAAAAAAAAATGGGAGCGGAGATTTTTAGACACCGCAAACGACCCTGGTAAAAATTGGGAGTGGGATCTGTGTTCCAAAATACTATAGACCTACAGCCGGCTGTAAGATTCCCTATGGCTCCTATAGTTGGCTGTACAATTTCTTATAGCCTTTTATAGCCGATGGCGATAAAGCTATAGCCAGGCGATAAAATGTATGCTAAACGTTACTAATTACAGATGCTAGGACTTGATGAGTTTTTGGACTACCGCTCTCTTTCTGGGCCGTGGTATCTTGATTTATTTTGCGAGAAAAGCTCCGTACTTTTGAAAGATGCCTGCCATTCCTAATATGTTGGAGCGCCTTCAATATCATATATGGATTGCATTTTGCAAAAAGGAACCACTAGCATTGCAATGTTGCTAAGATTGTGCAACTTCTTTTGTCTTGGAGGAAAAACCCGATTATCCATTAATAGTTTCTATTTTACTCGCTAAAAACTGTAAATTTAAGACAAAAATTACCATCTAAATTTCATAGTTTTTCACGATTTCCGCAATTTTATTGCAACAGATGAAGCTGCACAATCTTAGCACCATTGCAATGCTAGTGGTTCCTTTTCGCAAAATGCAATCCGTATGATACCGTGCAATACCTCTGGTGTGAAATTGTTGCTTCAAGAACTGTGACACGCTGCGGCGCGGCGCAGTGGGCGGGCAGCCAGCGCGAAACGCGCATTGGCGCCTACAAACCTAACAGGGATACTTCACGCATTGCGCAATGCGTGAAGTATCCCTGTTAGGTTTGTAGGCGCCAGTGCGTCGCCGCTCCGCTTTGTATTAGCCTCTAATATTTAATCTCGCGGAGTCAGCGTATTTCAACTCATGATTTTGAAATTTTTGCACACCCTGTATGGATTATTCTCATTTTAATTGATGAAAAAACATATGTATTAAAGGAAAATATAATGTGTGTTTTGTAAATATTAAGGTGGTTCCGTATCAAACTTAATGATTTCCAGAGCACACGAATTTCTACACAATTTCTTATAACTTTTTATAGCCGATGGCGATAAACTGTACATCCCGTTGATTGGAACTATAGCCCGGCGGTATAATTTTTTATCGCTTCGTATGGCCCGGCTGTGTGATTTTCTCCGCTTTCTACAGCCTGCTGTATGATTTTCTATCACCTTCTCTAGCCAGCTATAAGAATTCCTACGGTATTTTGAAACGCAGCTCCTATCGCTAATTTTTACCAGGGGAGATACGTGGTCTGGTAGTTTCACCGTCGATAGGCTTTTACCGTCACCCTTCTTACTCGTTAGGAGCAACAAAGCAAAATTATAACACGAATTTTAAACGCACGGGTGAAAAGAGAAGCTGAACATAAGACTGGTCTATAGGACGCCATATAATCCGGCCAAAGTTAAAGTCGATTTTTGCTGAAAGCCTCTAATTTATCGAGACTGTGCTTTTCCTCAGCAGAGCCGTAAGGATACGACAAAATCCCAAGAGCTCATGTAAAAAGACAAGAGAGATTGCATTTATAATTCATTCTGATCGATGAATCCTTGAGACACTTGCATTTTAATATGAAGGTCTATGTGGGTCATCTAATCACTGAGTATTATCAAAAATGTGTTTCTGAAGATCTTTTTTGATTATGAAATTTTGAATTCCCAATCGGAAATTTGACCTTGGGCAGATCGGAATAATATTGTGACAACCTTAGCGAGATTGTGAGCATATTTCAACAGTAAGGTTGGCCTGAGAATCTTGGTACAATATACCATCAATACTGGATATATAACCTTAGTATTTTAATATTGCACCAATATTAGCAACATTAGAAATCCAAGGTCAGGTGGTGCTCGGTGATTCCAAGATTGTCACAATGTTGTCACAATATTGGTTATACAATATTGGTAAACTAATACTGTCGTAGAGTTATGTTTTCAATATTGCAGTAATATGTTAGTTTTAACATTGGCACATTATTAAAAAAATACTGAACATAGGCTTCTGCTTATAATATTGACACAATTTTGACACAATATTAGGAAAACAAAATTGCTAAAATAATATCGAGACGATGTTATCTCTGTGATACTGCGGTATTGTTATTATGTTAACATTCAATTAACGTTAGAACAACAAACATAACAAGCTTCTGTTCGTAATATTGTCATAATATTGACACAATATTGGATATCTAAAACTGCTGAATTAATATTATGCTAACATTATTTTTACAACATTGTGGTAATATTCGCACTTTAACATTGTCACAAGATTAAGAAAATAAACATTTTAGGCTTCTGTTTCTAATATTGTCATAAGATTAACACAATATTGTGCGCGGCGAGCACAATTCGACCGCGTTTGCTATTTCCGCCACCAGGGCGCGCTCGCCGCGGATCTGCCGTTGCGGTCCCTTTAAGGGCAAATTAAAGGGCAAAAACTGCGACCTTTCGCTTTTTGACGTAATAGGCACATGATCCATAGGCGTCTAACCCATCTTACCGATATTCCTAGGTCAAGGGCTCAAATGGAGCTTTTTGGCAACGGTCCGCGCGCGGCCGCCCCGTCAATGGGGCTGGTTCTCGTTTCGCCTGGGCAGTGCCCGCTACAAATGGGTTCCAGGTTGAAGACTTCAGCCAATGCAAGCAGCCAAGGAAGTAGCTAACTTAGGAAGGTTCCTCGGCACTCCGATATTCCGTATGCCCACATTAGGCATTGCGACGCTATGAAATTTCTTCCGCGAGGACGGCAGGTAATACGGCGTTCTATCGCCTACCTAGCCTCAGAGGTAAGATTGGAAATCCAAGCTTGTCTCAGAGGTAAAATAAATATCCTGCCAATACTATGGCAATATTTTAACATCAAGACTATGGCAACATCATGATCACAATATCCGCTGAACAAGCTTGGAGTAATATTATTAACATAACATTGCCACAATATTGAATATCCAAGTTTGTCTCGGAAGTAAAATAATGTCCCACCAATATTGTGGCAATATTGTCAGGATAGGCTTGGAGCAGTCTTACAAACCTAACCTTGGCACAATCTTTGGGCTCAAGCTTGTCCCAGAGGTAAAATAAATGTCCTGCTAACATTGTGGGAACATTAGCAAGATAAGCTTGGCAACTCTATTCAAATGTGAAAAAATGTCATACTAAGCTTGTAGCAAGGTCAAATTTCCGATTGGGTTACGGAACAATGCAACTTATTGAGATCATAACCATGCTTACAATAGTTAAGGGTTAAATTGAGATATTTTTTCTATGCACATTAAATTTTTTTCAAAAACCGATTATACTTAGATGGCTTACTTTTTACATTTTTCTACCTTTAATTTTTACTTTTTTAATTTTTGTCAGTCACCTGAAGATGGGCGGCCTGCCCGAAATGGCAATTGTGCGTAGAGAATAATAAAAAAAGTAAGTCATCTAAGTATAATTAGTTTTTGAAAAATTGTATAATTTGCATAGAAAAAAGTGTTCATAGTGCCGATAAAGTGTTAGAAAATTGTGCAGTACGCTACAACAAAGTGTTAAATTGAAATCACATTTCAACTAGTAGCTCCCTTAATTATAGCAGTTTTTATTAAATCAGGGTTCATCCTTCTTTGCTATAGTGTGTTTCAAAAGCTCAAAAGGACAAATCAAGTAAATAAATCCGATAGCGGGTCACTTACAGAAAACCCTCGCTTCCCACCCGAAAAACGATTTTTCGCTCAGAGCCGTCGGATAGAGTCGATGACCGACCATTCTTCCGAAAATTTAGCGCAATATCCATAAGACCCGGCTGTCGTCCAATTGTAGCCCCGGCGAGTCCAGATTTGATTTAGGGGCCGGACACTTGACGGCATTTAGGAATCCGGCCAGCTGCGCGGTACTAAAAGGCCATAAAAGTCTTTTACACGATCAAAAAGCGATCGGCTCCTTGCGCACCTTTTTTACGGCACTTTGCAAGCGTTGGGCGTCACGGGGGGACCAACTTAACTTTTACAGCCGCCCGGTTGTAACGGCAGCCGCGTTGCCAAATAATCAGAGTCATGAACAAGTGGACCATACTTCCGTGCTATGGAAGAACGCCGTATGAGCCTTCAGGCGTTGCCAAATTTCCATTTGTAAAACACAAATTCCCTACTAAGCTTATGAATATTTTTCTTTCATTTTTTCAGATAATTTTGCTCGCGATTCCACCGAAAAGCCCTGAAAATGTCAAGATAAAATATGCATAACTCTCCTAAAAAATAAACATTTTATCGAAGGAAATTTGGAAACTCTCGAAAGTTCATAAGGCGTTCGTCCTTAGCATGGCAAAATATTAGTCGGAGCAAAAAGGAGAGTTGTTTTAATGGACTGTCCCTTGGAGAACACAACGAGTACATGGGT